TACCTATTTTGGTAATTACTTTTTTTTTTAATTTTTTTCGTGTATTTTTTTTTATTTAGATGGGTCAAAAAGCCCCATTACTTCTGCTAATCGCAGCGGATATAGTCATAAGTTTCTTTCTTCTTCCTCTTTTATGCACCATTGTTGTGTAGACTCAGTTGTTCTTTTGTTACTGTTTCCTGGTTATTATTATAGCTAACATTTATTTACATTCTTTTACAACAAAAAGATTAGTATAATTGATTTTATTTTAGTTAAGTTATTTCTTTACTTATTTATGTTAGATTCTCACATAATTTTTTTTTTCACATAACAAACTTAAGCCATTTCATTAATAATAATAGAAGCAATACAAATTGGAATAGAATCAAAGACATGGTGACTAACAACCCGTTTGGCTTGTATCCTAAAGAACTTGATCGAAATTTTTTTATGAGAGTTGAGAAGGAGTGTGCACACTAGTTAGTACAAAATATGTTTTTTACGTTACTGTATTTTCGTCGAAAAATGAAAAATTTAACGTAAAAAAAATGTGGTGGCATTTTTAAAATTATATCCAAGTTTTTTTTACGTCGGACACCACGAGGTTCGACGTAAAATTTAAAATTTACGTCGGACTACAAGGAGACTCGAAGTAGATTTCAAATTTTACGTCAGACCTCGTGGTGTCCGATGTAACAACCTTGTTATATCCCATTCCCCTGAATCATTTCTTTGAGCGCGCGAGGGTTTTCTATGTGTAGAAAGTTCAGGCAACTATTCCGACGAAGAGTTTGTACGCAACCTGGGTGTTTCCGGTCACAGTGAACGGCGACGACGATGGCATCAACATCCATTCGTCATTGCAGATCGTTTTATCCGATTGGATTAAAGCTTTTGGTGCGTGTCTTGTTTAGGTTAGCACTTAAGGCTACTCGAAACTTTTGGGATTTAAGGTTAGTGCAAATACATTATTTTACATTGTTTTGGTGGCGACGATTGGATTGGATTGGAGGATACATTGTTAGGGTTTTCCTATAGCAATTTCTGGCAACGGTGATATGAGACCTTTGGATGTTTTTGGGTCACGGTGAGCGGCAACGAAAACGGAGGCAAAACTCATTTTTGATTATGAATCTATCTCTCCGATAGGATTGAAGCATTTAGATATTTTTTGGACGTGTTCATAGATTGAGATTAATTTTTTGTTTGTCTATCAACCATTTTACGTTGGACGTAGAGGATGTCCGACGTAATTTTACGTCGGCTAAAACACCCGATGTAAATTTACGTCTCTCGCATTAACGTCAGACATTTTTCCGACGTAAAAGGTCTAAAATAATAAACATAAAATGTCTCTTTTGTACTAGTGGCATTTGTTTAAAATTATTCCATATTCAGAGTGGTGAAATGTGGTCCCTAGAAGATCATTTATAACTTTCTTGCAATTTGACTCAATGGTAATGTTTCTTTGACTAGTGTCCAACGACCATTTGAATGCTTCGACGAATCAACGACCATAGTCTTGAGGCTTCCCAGAATGAAGTGATACTTGGATAGCCTAGAAAAAGGTACCACTCATTTTCCATATGCGAATCATAGAGAACACATTGCAAGGGACATGGCACACCATTCTACTCAGCCTATGTTTGGTGGGGAGACAACCTTTCAGAAATCTCCAGAGGAAGATCTTCATTTTCTGTGGGATATGTAGCTACCAAATCTTCAACCAATTTCCTGAAAGTCGTAGATCAATGTTGGCGATGAGTGTTTCCCTAATATTGTAACATGAAAATTTTATAGAGTAACCTCCACTCTTGTTTAAGTTACATGTTAGTGTCCTTTTTAGTCAGGTGCAGAAGTGGCAACGATGATGTTGTAGTGATGTCTTTTTAATGTAAAGAGCTCGGATAACAATTCATATGTCCATGTGCCAAGGTCCTGGTCTGTCAGATCTTTTACTAAGAAGTGTTCTTTACCAGTTGGGGAAATTGATACTGTTAGAAGTTTATTTTAAAAGCTTTAAAATTTTAAGAAAACATAATTTCACATTGGTCAAAAGAGAAGTTTTTTTTTTTTGTTAAGAATTTATATGTCAACATTTATCTTTAGTTAGTACAAGCACTGAAACAGGGAATGGGCTTATGTACACAAAAATTTGGATTGTCACATGCTTTTTCTGCTATTTTTTAACATTAGCCCCCGCAACTAATCTTACCGTAGAAATATATTTTTTATTTTTAAAATCTTAAGTGAATTATATTCTAATGACTCGTTACAACGTGTAACATGTATATATATATATATATATATATATATATATAATAGGGGTTTATAAATCTCATTTTCTCTTGTGCATGTTCACTTCTTGAGAACCTATGATAGGGTTAAGTGAGAGTTTTTGGAGTCTACGCTGGTGCGATTTAGTTTTCCCACGGTCATAATTCAACTTATCATGTGGGGGTTGAAAAATTCTTCGGTATCTCTCCTTTGGAATGGAAGCATATTACCATCTTTGTTCCTTCATGTGGCCTACGGTAAGGGGATTTGCTATCCCCGTACCTGTTCGTGTTCTACATGGAATGTCTAGCCCTTAGGATCTCTAGTTGGTCCAAGAGGGTCATTGGAAACCGATTTATTTATCTCCTGGTGGGTTACCGATTTCTCATATTTTCTTCGCTGATGATTTATTGTTATTTTGCCAAGCTTTAGAAGATCAAGCTCGTTTGGTGGCATCAATTTTGGATGAGTTTTCTCACTCATCAAGGCTGAAAGTAAACTTTACTAAATCTAAGTTTGTGAGCTCTATAAGGGTTTCACAGAGGAGGATCGAGATTATGGAAGGGTTTCTAGGCATTGCCCATACGGCTCGGATAGTGAGTTATTTAGGTGTTCCCATGACCCATGGCCAGCTGAAGTGTGCAGACTTTTATGATGTGATTAATAAGATCCAAAGTCGGCTTGCGTCTTGGAAGTCCAAGCTTCTTAATAAGGCAGGCAAATTGTGTCTCGTGAAGTCTATTATATCCTCTATCCCCGTATATAGTATGCAATCTTTGTGGCTACCCCAAGCGGTGTGTAATCGAATTAATCAAGCATGTCGTCGTATGTTATGGGCAAAGCTTGACAACGTACGGTTTTGGTCCCCTGTGAATTGGGATGTTGTTATTCAACCCAAAGAATTGGGTGGCCTTGGGGTTAGGGAGGCACAAAGAGTGATTGTATCACTTATTGGAAAATTAGTATGGGATCTGCTATCTGCCCCACAGAAGCCTTGAGTTCAAATACTTAGCCATAAATATTTACGTGGGGACTCTATCTTGTGTGCGCAAAAAAGGCATGGTGCTTCTCCAATCTGGTCAAGTATCATTAAGGGCCTTCCTTCCCTCCTTGAGGGATTTAAACCTCAATTAGCTTCTAGTGTATCATCTCTTTGGTGTACTGACTGGTCGAGTATTGGGTTATGGTGCAGGAAAGTTCCTTTTGTTCACATTGTTGACACTAACAAGACGGTAGCAGATTGCTGGGTTAATGGAGAGTGGAATTTCAATGCCTTGTATACAGATCTCCCGACAGAGATGGTACACTTGGCCTAGCAGTTGAGTGTAACTGTTTCCTCCTTGGGGGTGGACTACTTCAAATGGACGGGTGATATATCTGGGTGCTATTCAGTTGCATTTGGGTATCGTTTTCTGCTCCCGGTTTTATCAACTGAAGCGGATGTAGTTTGGAAGAAGCTTTGGAAGCTAATGATTCCAGAGAAGGTTAAGTTCTTTATGTGGCAATGCCTACATTCAGCTCTTCCAACTAATCAGGTACGGGTTAAGAGGAGATTGGCAGAGTCTGGTGCGTGTTTGCGTTGTTCTTGTCCACAAGAAACCATCTTACATGCTCTTCGTGATTGCCCGCATTCGCGAGAGGTTCTGTTATCCAGTGGGTTTGATTCGAGATTGTCTTTTTCTGCAATGGATTGTTATCATTAGTTGAAGGGTATTATTTTGAATAAGGATGCTATCAAACTATCCATCACCTTGTGGTGGATTTGGAGGTTTAGGAATAACATGATTTTTAATGACAAGCGGTGGTCGATTTCGTATGTCCGTCGGAAGGTGGTACTGTCTACTATTGAGAATAGTTTGTACAACGTTAAGAGGCGCTTGTGGTGGATCAGGTCCTATGGATGCCCCCAGAACATCCATGGGTTAAGCTCAACACTAATGGGAGTTGGTTGAGTGGGACTTCCGCTATGGGGATGGGTGGAGTAATTCGAGATTGGACAGGTATGTGGCAGGGAGGATTCTCGTGTGGGATTTTGAATGGTGATGTGCTACGTGCAGAACTTTTGGCCTTAGAGGATGGTCTATTGCTTTGTTGGAAAGGTGGGTTTCGGAAGGTGAGTTGTGAATGTGATTGCTTGGGAGCAGTAAAGATAATCCAAGAACGGTTAACGGATAGGGATCGCCTTCATAAGCTTTATGATATTGTTCGTCGCATTAAGCGGATGTTAGATTGGGATTGGCAGGTCTATGTGAGTCATATCCCCTGAGAGATAATTTAGTGGCCCATACTCTTGCTAATTGTGGTGTTAAGAGCTTGGGTTCCAATGTATTTTGAAGGAGTCCTCCAAACTTTGTCCTGTTAACGTTAAGGAGAGACTCTGTGTCTTGATTATTTTTGTTGTTATTTTTTCTTCATACTTTACCAAAAAATATATGAAAGTGACAAATTTAGTCAATTATGCAAATATCAATGAGTTTAATGTAATATTTTCATTAATAAAAATAACAATAGGTAGATTTATATAATAATATTTGAAAATTTTTTTTAACAAAATTTGAATATAAAAATTAAAAAATATATTTTTTTTAAAAATTACAAGAACTAAAAACATCAATTTAAAACTTAAGAAAAAAAAATTAATTTACCGTAAATTTATGAAATTAATAACATATTTAAAAATTTTAAATTATAAACAATAACAAGCAAAATTCACGCAATACAAGGACAAAAGGGTAATTAAAAAAACTGGATTCGAAAGAAGCTGCAAGTGTGGGGAACTTGGGGGTTATCTTGTTTGTGCAATTGCATTCAGATTAATTTGATTCAGCGATTCACCAACAAAATCGTAGTTGCAGAGATTTGCGAAATCGAAAACTTTTCATCAAATCATCAATGTTCTCTCACACGCATTTTCTCTCTTCGCGCCCTTTCACCTTCAACAAATTTCCAAAGACCGCCACTTCACGCGCTCCGTTCTCCGTTCGTGTCGGAACCGCAACTCCGTCGACGCCGGTTGCCGCCGACACAGTCCCGCCGCCGGTAATGTCGGAACAGCTTGCACCCAATTCGCCGCCACCTTCGCAGTCGCTGGTCGCGGCTGCTCCGCCCATTGCGGTGGCCAAAAATCTAGGGCTCCGGCCCACCCCTGAATTGGGTCTTCTCTCTCACTTGTTTGTTCTCTCCATGGTACTATTGTAATTCATTACCTATTTTCTCACCAAATAAGGATGAAAAATTGTATCTTTGAGCGCTTTTGGTTTCTGGGTAATTAAGTTGGTATTACTACTGAACCTGTGTTTTTCGGGCTTGCAGGCTTTTGGTGCATTTTTCTCTGTAGCTGTGGTTTCTATTCCAACCTTAATCGTAGGTTAAGGTTTATCTCATGTACACGCAAATCTATTGGCAAGTTTAAGGTTTTAAATTCTGCGACTGTAAGAGTATGTTTAAGTAAAGTTTTCTGGAAATTCCTCTAGGGGAGAAAAATACGAAGAAAAAAAATGAAATTAGAGCTAAAATTGAGTTATAAATAAATTAATTGGGAAAAAATCTTTATTGTCATTAATTCTAAACTCTTATTTTTAACTTAAAGATAAACTTATTTTGATTTTTCTTCTTAATTTTATCTCTTAGAAATACTTGTACTTAGGAAGAAATTTATCCAAATATACTCTAATTGTGGTTCTAAATGGGTTTTAAAACCTTTGCAAACTGTACTTTAAAGTGTTTTAACTAATTTAACTGTTAAATTATTTCTTTTAACCCGTGTGTATGTAGTGGTGTGTTGAATTGCTAATGTGCATATAGTTGATATTCGTTTCTTGCACAGGCTTTTGGTAGATTAGGAGCTTCAGCGAATAAATTGTCAAAGGTTGTTTCACAAGAGGTACCTGGAACTTTATTTTCTCTGAAACTTTCTAGCATGGAACTGAACGAATTGACCCAACAATTTGGTAGTCTGAGGTAATATATGTTTTTCTTGCTTTTTGTTTGTTCTTCTATTTGGTTGCTACATGCTGTGGCTTTTGTTTGTTGTTGGTCTATCTTTGATTATGTTATGTCAATGTTTGGCAGGCATAAAATTTCTGGCATTCCCACAGGAATGAAGGATGGGGGCACTTCCAGATCAAGATCCTTTCGTAAGAAGAACTCAGCATCCTAACATTGCCAACATTGCTTAGGTGAGTAAGCTTGTTTCTGGAATTAAGCTTGCTTGGTTTGGCTGAGTGGGAATTACTTTTCTTGATTCATGGTAATTGAACTTGGTACATTAAGATTTACCTCATTCACGTACACTGCACGACTAACTGGGCTAAACCCTATTGGTACCCAATGGAAATTACCGAATAGATGTAAGGCATTTTCAGTCATATGGTTTCTGTTGAAAATTGAAATTACAAGTTGTATATTGAATTATGATCACAAGGAACTGGTTGGGCTTTAAAATTTGAAGCTGATGTTGCAATGAGAATTTCTATCCTGAGGCCTTAAAAAGTTTTCTGCTATATGATATTGTATATTAATCCCAGTTTACTTACAGGTAAGCTACAATGTCTATCATGGTGTACATCTTGAAGCAATAGAATATTGATCCGAATGTCTAATATAATTTTATTCAAGAAGAATTTGAATTTCATGAATTATTTAGAGTTTTGCAAACTTCTTTAGCGCTAGAGCAGCATCTTTTGCTTGATCAGGGACAGGCATATTGCTTAGTAGAGTTACCCTAGAAGATGAAATCAAGGATCTGTTTTGTGAGTTTGAAGGATCAATCTTCCAGATTCTCACTTCCCACACCTGCCAGAGAGAAAACTGTTATGACATGTTTTTCTCATATATTTAAGCCTAGAGAATAACAAAGTTCATATTTAATACTAACAGAGTCCCTTTTTCTTTACTATGACTTTTATGGTTGACTATCTAAGTTTAACCAACAAATATTTACTGACTGAGATAGTAGATTGGTCATTGGTGAAGACCCTTATCAAGCAGAATGAACTAGTTAGTAATGTCACCAATTTATTTAATGGCACACTCAATAACCGAGTAATATGATCCAAACAGGCCAGCATGGCGCCATTGAGTGTTTGATGAAGTTATTTATTGAAATAATTGATTAATGTATAATGACAAAAATGAATTTGTTTATAAGGTGTTTTTATATAATTTTTATTTTATTTTATTAATGAAAATATATTTTGGAGTGTTTATAATTTCAGTTAATTAACTTTAAAACCTTGGTTTTTTTAATTTATGGATCAATTATTTTAATTACATTTCATTAGTTTTAATTATATTTTTTTGCTTCATATTGTGCATTCTACTATTAATTTTGTACTATATTGTAAAATACTTTAAATCAATTTTAATATAAATTAAAAATAACATGTGCTTAATAGATATCATAGTTTCATTATGATAATTAGTGTAACAGTTAAAATAAATCGTGCAATATGAAAAATATTAAAAATAAATAAATTTATCATCTATTATCCTTTTCTAAATATAAGATCAGAATAACTATCTTAAATAATAATGTTTAAAGGATTATTTTTTAACTGGGAGTGTTTTTAGTTGTTTTTTTTTTAATGAGAATGTTATAGGATTTTTTTTTAACCTTTCACATCTTACAATATAAATCAGAATAATTTTTTTAAAACTAATATTTTTTTAGGTCTTCTATAAACGAAAATGTTTATTATTAATTTTTTTCAAAAGGTGTTTTTAAGAATTTTATATACTATCTTGGACGATGTATATAAAACACATCTTATGTGTAACACATGTTAAAATACATTTTATCGAAATAATAAAATAAATATTGTAAATAGTATAATGATTAAAAGTATTATATA